AGCAAAAGTTGTAAGTATTAAATAAAATGGTCAAAGATCCAACACAATTTTCCACAAGTTTATAAAAAATATATATATTAAATAAATTAAAATTAGTAATTTGGTATATGTTTAGCATTAGCTAGCTTTTTTCCATGGTATATATTGATATATTTTTCCAATTATAACATTGTATTTTAAACAATTTGTAACATTTTATTTATTTATTTATTTTTTTGAATTATAACATCCTACTTATACCAAAACCACATATTTTCACATAATACATAAGATCATCAAATACACATACTTTTACATACATATACAACATATATACCAAATACACATACATTCACATGCATACATAATAACATCCTACTTATACCAAATACACATATACTTTCACATATGCAGATAATAACATCATATTTATACCAAATACATAAATTCCACATTCATATATCACGTATACACCAAACACACATAATTCACATACATACATAGTAACATCTTATTTATACTAAATACATATATAGTTTCACATATACAGATAATAACAACTTATTTATACCAAATATACATATTTCACAATCATATTCCACATATACACCAAACACATATACCAAATTTACATTGATTCAAATACATATATTAAATATATGCCAATTTTCACATAACTTATACAACTACACATAGATTGCGATAAAACTCAAATTTCACATTAAATAGAAGTAAATAGAACCTGTAGAGGCGGAAATTACTCAATGTCGCTAGAAAAATTGGTACTCACCGAAAAATACTCTCACCCGCCCCTCACAGTAAACTCAAATACACAAACGACCAAAAACACTGAAATTGAAAATTAATTTGCAATTAATCATCAAATGGAGCTAGAAATCGATGTTAAAAAAAGAAATACAAAAAGATATAAGAACTTGAAGTTACCTTTGTACTTGAGATGGAGCTAGTAATTTGTTGTTTTCGTGATTTAAACTCGTTTAATTGAAACCATAAATACCTTTGACCACTAATCTCACAATGTTGGGAGATTTCTTGTTAGAATCGACGGTAAGTCGCAACAAATGGGGCAAGAACAAACCAGAGATTGGGTTTTGATCGAACACAGGAAGCAAAAATATGAAATGCTTCATTTTTTTCTTTTTAACTACACATGCTTTTAGCTGCGACAACAGAGGCTTTACCGGTGACAAATGTTAACAGCGGCGCCTATCTGGAGGGAAGGGTACCGCATATTTTTTTATATCACTATTAACGACGACTTTTTCAGCCTTTAGCGACGACAAAATGTTGCCGGTATTGGTTTTATGCGGATAAGAGGGCCCAACTGTTGGATTAGATATTTGATCAAACGGCTGAGGACTATCAGAAGAGGATAACACATATTCGGGTGAAAAACCTTTAACGGCGATACAAACTTTTTTGCAGCGACTCAACCATTTGTCGCCGCTAAAGTCGTGGTTTCTTGTATATATATATATATATATATATATATATATATATATATATATATATATATTAAAGCTAATATCTTTTAGTGTATCATAGTATCTCAAGTATAGCAACGAATATGTTAGGTGCTCTTTCGTATAATTTCTATATATCCATTGAAAAAATTGTTTATACAAGGTTAATTATTATTGAAACTTTCTAAGGAAAAAGGGAAAACACATGGCAAATATAAATGTTTATGAGGTTATAGTACGTGAAAATGAAAAAAAAAATTGTTTACAAAAAATGTATGCTTTTTTATAACACACAAATATATGTTTAGTTTAGAACTACAATAATAAATAAAAATCAATTTTGTGGTATATCATTTTTTGCTTGTAATTTTTTAATTATTTAATATTTATTTGTAATTTTTGTGTTTTTTATTCAAATTCCATCTACTAAATATCATCTCATATTAATTATTTTTTGTTTATATATATATATATATTTTTTGAAACGACAAATCTAACCTACTCCTAAACTATACCTTAAATCCACCTATGTCCACGACGGGACTTGAACTCTCAACCTCAAGGAGGGAGGGCAACACCGGATACCGCTGGGCTACAAGCCCTTTGGTTTTTGTTTATATATTAAGTAAGATATATTAATATAGATAGTAGCTTTCCCTTTACGAATCGACCACATATCAAATAATTTTATTGATATATTATTTAATATATATATATATATATATATATATATATATATATATATATATATATATATATATATATATATATATTCAGGTTCATTTGAAACCATTCTAATTTTGTGAGACCGTGAGAACAAATCTAAAAATAATTTTAAAATGCAAAATAAATGGAAAATATCCAAAAATTCTTTTTTTAAATATTATTTTCGGAATTTGAATTAACTAAAATAAATAAAAATAAAAATAAATAAATAAAAAAAAATCCCGTTTTTTTTGAAAAATATGTGAAATATTGTAAATATAATATTACACTGATATATTCTAAAAAATAATTTTAAAATGCAAAGTAAATGGAAAAATCTAAAAATTCTTTTTTTAAATATTATTTTCAGAACTTGAATTAACTAAAAAAAATAAAAAAAATCTTTTTTTTTTGAAAAATACGTGAAATATTCTAAATAGAATATTATATTGTACATATTCTAAAAATAATTTTAAAATGCAAAATAAATGGAAAAATAAAAAAATTCTTTTTTTAAATATTATTTTCGGAACTTGAATTAACTAAAAAAAAAATTTTAAAAATGAAAAAAAATAAAAAAATACGTCTTACGGTCTCACAAAATTAGGCCGTCTCAAATGAATCTAATCCTATATATATATATATATATATATATATATATATATATATATATATATATATATATATATATATATATATATATATATATATTAACATTATTTTTATATATCTACCGATATTGAATTGATTAACATTTATATTTTACTTGTTGACTTGCTAAAAGATTTAGCACGTTGTTTACTATAGTTTTATTACAAGAATTATGATTGTTTTAACGATTTAAACACCAAATAGATTCTACCAACCCTAAAGGCAATTACCTATGGATAAAGAATTCATTGTTATTTCTCATGTCAATTGATAATTACTTATATAAAATTCAATTTAATTTGATCGTCATTGATTTTTTATTTAATATATTTTACACAAATATTGTTTTATGTCTTTTATTTTTGTATGTCACGTAACCAACACATTTTATGATTAATCATTGCTAGTATTGTATACCTGGTGTTGGTTGTCGTAGCAATATTTATAATCTTCAAATAGTGCTACATATGTTGAAGATGACAATGAAAATGTCAATCCAAATATATCACGTGGATATAAAAAAAATGGCTTCCGTATATAAAAGAAGAATAGGTTGTGAGCTTAAGTGATGGTGAGACTATTATTTTTAGGGAAAATGACCTTTGAGGGTAATAAAGTATTCGTCTTGTATTCATTAGGTCCCTTATCTTTTTTTTGTCTTTATTATACCATTGAACTTGTAATCCCTGTTCACCAAAGCCCTTGATACCGGTTGTTGTAGGTTACTAGTGATGTGGATATTACGTGGCATTATGTGCCATAAACTGGGCTTATTAATTGCAAAGTTAAGTACTGCATCTTCTTGCCCGTTCTTGCCCTAGATCGACATGTCTTCTTCTTCTTCTTCTATTTCTTCCAAACGAAATGTTGAATTTCAACCTGAAAATCCTTGTTACTGTGGGTTACCATCTCGTGTACGAACTTCACGAACTAAAGACAATCCAGGAAAAAAATTCAGATTGTGCCCTAACTCCATGGTAAAGCAATTGTTTTTTACTTTTCGTTTTATCTTCTTTCTTTCACCAATTTGTTACTTTTTTCAAGAATGAAGGACCAAAATGCAAGTTCTGGGAATGGTTGGAGCCTGAAACCCCCGAAAATGAAGTCAATTCTGGGAAGGACAAAAAAGAATCGTGCAATTTAACCCTCAAAGTTTCTATATTGGAAAACGAGATCAGCATATGTAAGATGAAGATGGAACAAGAAAATTTGGTTGTTAGACAAGAGTTTGAAAAACTCAAATGGAAGCTATTTACTCATAAAGTTGTGATGATTGTGTTGTTTCTGTTGTTTGTGTTTAAGAAGTAGTTTAGCCCTTAATTTAACCCTTAGTTTAGCTGTATTCAAAGACTAAATGTAATCCTTAATGTTGTAATTTGTTTGATGTATTATGACTAAATCTTTTTGATTAATGATAGTTTGATGTTTTGAGTGCTTTCCAAGAAGTATTAATATGTTTAAAAGGTTAATGAATTGGACATGATGCATGGGTAATATGGTCCAGATTAAATTTGGCAGTCAATTGTTATTGTGTTGATGTGATCCAATGGTAAAATGGTCCAGAATAACCACATTGGATACATCAAACATTTCTTAATGTATTAAGACTAAATCTTGGCATTAATCAATTGTTAATGTGTTGATGTGATCCAAGGGTAAAATGGTCCAGATTAAATTTGGCAGTAATCAATTGTTATTGTGTTGATGTGATCCAAGGGTAAAATGGTCCAGATTAACCACATTGGATACATCAAACATTTCTTAATGTATCAAGACTAAATCTTGGCATTAATCAATTGTTAATGTCTTGATGTGATCCAAGGGTAAAATGGTCCATATTAAATTTGGCAGTAATCAATTGTTAATGTGTTGATGTGATCCAAGGGTAATATGGTCCAGATTAACAACAACAACAACACCAAACTTTGCTTAATGTAGTAATACTAAATTTACTTGATTTATGATAGATAATATAAGATTAAACAATCTATATGCAAATAACCGTACACCAAAGCATATAGATAAAAGACAAAGTTGTAATATTCCATCATCATGTGCACTATTACAAAAGTTGTGCCCACAGTTGTCCTAATATGTCAAAAGATGTGCCATGTGCCCACAGTTGTCCTAATATCCCAATTACATATTTATAAGACTAAAAGTTTGTCTTTCCAAATAAAATCATTCCAACACCATTGGGTTGTGTCCAGTGCTTCCTTCTTTCTTCAAAACCTTCCTCCTCAACCCTATCTTGGTAATTCTTTCTGAGTATTTTCGTATCCTCTGCCTAGTTGCAACTGGTTGAGCAGGGACATCAACATCTGGATGTGGATCATCAACTGGATCCACTGGATCTGCTTGAACTGGATCAACCTGTGGAGCTGGTACTTGAACTGGATCCACTAGATCTGCTTGAACTGGATCCACTTGAACTGGTTCCACTTTACCTGCTATACAAATATGTAGCTAATGAGTTGGATGTTCCATTTAAATTATATTGTTTTAATAGCATACCTTTCTCTTTTTTACATTTTTTAGGTTTCTTGTTTTTTGGCCTTGAAGTGGATGCTACATCTGCTAGTCTAGTAGGACATGTTGATCTATTGTGGCCCCTTTCTCTACAAATACTGCATCTATTAACTGAACCTGCTTTTGAGATAGTATGCCTTGTTTTCCCCTTGCTTTCCATCTCAGATTGATCTTTTTTCCTTTTAAGGGTTGGCCTTCCTGGTAACCTTCTTTTTTGAGGAGGCAATGGCTTCATGTAGGGAGCTTCAGGCCACATGGAACTACCATTAAGTGGGTTAATGGTATGGTTGTAACAAGTCAAGAACATGGCTGTATGGAACCATGGTGCAACATAATCCTCTGCATTCCTGTTAAGGTATGAAATGGCTGCCACTGCATGCACACATGGGATACCTGATACTTGCCAAGATCTACATCCACATGTGTTGTTGTTAAGGTCCACAGCATATCCATCATTTCCAATCCTAACTTCATATTGTTGTATCCCAGATGGTATAACACCCCAAAATCTGCCCAAAAAAATAAGAAGTTCTATTAATCTTATAGATGAGACATATAATATTTATAAAATAGAAGTTATATCATACCTTTGCTGTTTCTTTAGCTTTGATATCTTCAACCTTATAGATGGACATATTTTTAAATTCCCCCAACTTTGTCCCTCTTGCAACATTTTATACATCCTCTCCATTGCATAAATCCTTATCTCTTCCAACATGGTGATGAGTGGCCTTTTCCTAGCAAGATCAATAACAGAGTTGAAACTTTCTGATATGCCATTCTCATAAGCATCACAAGCCCTGTCCACTTCAAAGAATGCCCTGCACCAACTTTTAGGGTCCCTTTCCATGAGGTGTTCATAAGCCAAAGGATCAATTTTTTTTATGGAATTCATTTCTGCCTCAAATTTTGGTTGAGTAGTACTAGCAGCTGCTGCCCAAAACAACTTCCTATATTGTTCACCTTTGAAACTTTTCTTGAAGTTAGCATAGATGTGCCTAGCACATTGTCTATGCTCTGCTGCTGGAACCCTTTCTTTGACAGCCTCTATTAATCCCTGAAAGAAAGCATGAAATAGATGACATAACAAAAACATTCAACTTAAACAAAACAAAACAGAAATATACCTTGTGTTGGTCTGATATGAGGGTCAATCCATGACCAATTCCCATTTCAATGTCATCCAGAAGGAGGTCAAGAAACCACTTCCATGTTTCCTTATTTTCAACTTCCACCACAGCCCATGCAATAGGGAAGATGTGGTTGTTTGCATCCCTACCCATAGCTGCTAACAGTTGGCCTCTACATATACCCTTTAAAAAACAACCATCTACCCCTATTACCCTCCTACATGCTGCAATCCAACCATCCTTCACACCCTTAAAACAAACATACATTTTAGAAAAGTAGGTTGTGGAATCAGGCATGACATTCACATCTATCTTTACTGTTGAACCAGGATTTGTCCTCATTATTTCTTCTCCATAACTCCATACTTTACCATAATGTTCTATCAAACTACCCTCTATCTCATCCAAAGCATATCTCCTAGCATTTCTACATTGAGTGACACTAACAATCAAGTTAAACTTTGCACTCACTTTGGCCTTCATTTTCCTTATGCTCATTTTAGGGTTCTTCAGAAGTTGATTCTTAAAATGCATTCCAATCCATTTATATGTTACAATGGAACCAAGTTTGAAGACTCTTGAACAGTTATGTTCATCAACTAATGACTTAATTTGGAAAGACCTTTCACTGCTCATCCAGGAAGCCCACAGTCTAAAAGGACAAGAGGGGTTCTTGTTCTCTTTACAACATCTCACTAATAACCTCTGACTATCATTTTTCTCAAAATAAAGGTTGTACCCATTCTTCACTGCATAGTTAGTCAAACAATTTTTCAATTCCATGGGGTTAGAGAATCTCATACCTAGAATTGGCACCATTTTGTCCCATTTCTGGTTCTCATTATGGACAGGGTACACTGGTTTGTCATCTCCATTCTTGGTTTCAACCTCATCAGTTTCAGCCTCATCATTTATATCCTTACACATACCTGACACCCGATGTAAGAATTCATCACCAATAGTCTTGTCAAAAGAAGGAATGTAATCATCTGCTTCATGCTCATATGGAATATCATCAGAAAGTTGTGAATCTTTATCATCATCCAGGTCTTCGTCGAAATAATGCCCTTCATCATCAGCCCAATCAAGTACAGGTTCATTTTCGTGGTCTATATACACATTCATTCTTAGACCGGCTTCATCACTATAACCCGTTTCAATAAACTCAAAGTAGTCAGCATCATTCGAAATTCTCCTAATACCCTCTGCCAATGGTTCATTTCTAGTGCAATAATATACATTATCACAACTGCCTTCAATCAACTTTGCAATGAACAAGTTAAAGTCTTTGAAATCCATTGCACCAAAATCGACATCACAGATTGAAACAACAACAGCGTTCAAGTACACTAATGGTTTTGGTGCGAATAAACCATTATAATGTAAATAAACTGTTAAATACTTACTTTGTTTGGAATCGGAGGCCATCTTCTTCACTATAACACTCGCATTCACCAGTTGTCTTCAATTTCCTAACCGTATGCTTCGATTGAACTTTTTCTTCCCTTAATTAAAAACAACCCTAACTGTAAGGACAAACGGGTGAAAGAGAAACATGTGTTCTAATTCCACGTAATAAGACATGTCATCTCTAATTAAATGTGGTAACCGGTAAAACAGGTGATAACCGGTCACGGTGGCTTTGGTGAACAGGGATTACAAGTTCAATGGTATAATAAAGACAAAAAAAAGATAAGGGACCTAATGAATACAAGACGAATACTTTATTACCCTCAAAGGTCATTTTCCCTTATTTTTATCCCAAATTATCTTCTTGTTATTCATTTCGTATATAAAAGAAGAATAGGTTGTGAGCTTAAGTGATGGTGAAACTATTATTTTTGTCCCAAATTATCTTCTCGTTATTCATTTATTTGATGAGATTGGTTTATTAATTGAATTTGTCTATCCTGATATTCTTCAAAATGTAAAGATTTCGATGTTTTTTTTTTCAAGAAAGAGAAATCTTTGCACTGAAAAATGAAGTCGTTCAAGAAACAAACGATCATTTCTTATCATTATTCTCGCGAGCAGAAAGAGAACACTTGAGTTTAGATAATATTTTCCGTTCATATTTTCTTCACGATAACTTGGATGAATGTCTATAGTCGTTTGATGTAATAAATAGTCTCGAATTGTCGGGTTTGCCAATTCATAAGTTAATATTAACATTGGTGTTCCAGTTATTTTATTAAAGACTACTGATCGGAAATGTGGGTTGTATAATGGAACGAGGCTATGGGTTATAACATTGGGAAAATGTATTATAAAAGCAAGGATAGTTTTTGAAGGTAATATAGTACGTTTATCCCAATAATGTCTTTAACGCGGTCAGATAAAATGATTCCTTTCACATTTGAAAGAAGACACTTTACATTGGTTGTATGTTTTTCGATGATAGTAACACAAGAGTGAATGATATTTGCTACCGAAAGCACGGTTGTTATTTAGACAGCCGGTGTATACTTATGGACGATTGGATGTTGTATTATCCAAAGTTAAAAGAAAAATAAATTAAAAATATTACATTTAGGCAATTATGATAAACTTAACAATATCACATCTAATCATTTATTTAAAATAATCTTTGGAAATTTTTGATTCATAACAATTATTTACATTATATTAATAGTATTTTTTATTTGTATAGATTCAATTAAATACTTATCATCATTTCATTTGTATTTATTTCGAAAGTTTAATTTAAAAAATGTTTAATTTTCACACATTAGTATTTAGCATAATTATTTAACATATTTCAAAAAAAATTATTAGTATAGATTGAATTACTAATTTTTTTCATCATTTCATTTTTATTTCTTTCAAAATTATACATTAAAAAATGCTTAATATTTACACATTAATATCTAACTTTGGTTTTAATCAACTCGTATAATATAAAGATCTCACACCTAATATATTATTAAAAGAATGTATCCCCAAAAAACTAAAGTCTTTGTCAATACACCATTGAATTCAATTTGACACTACATATTTATTTATATTTACTTTTTCCTTTCTTCCCGCCACCACCATTCTCTTTTCCCCACTCATGGAAAAGAAGATTCTAATTAATATATACTTTGATTCACCTTTTTATTCATGGTTGCGTGGAATGGGAGAGGAGAGAGATCAAATTGGAGATTAATTTGAAATTTTAGTTGAATCTCAGCCAGACACATACTGTATGTGTGTGTGTGTGTGTGTCTATATATATATATATATATATATATAACATCTCAATTTTCCAGATCAAAAATTTCATTTTCGATATAAGAAAAACATTTATAAGAACACATCATCAAGTCATATAATTTCATAAAAGCACAATCACATGTCTCGTAACCATATCATAAAAAATAGTAATAATGTCCGAGTACAATCCTAAGGATCTCATAATGCAGAATTCTTATGTGTGTGATACGCTGCTACCATGCTAGCTCCTTTCCCTTCGATGAAGAGGTACACGAAAACAAAATTGCAAACTGTGAACAAGAAGCTTAGTGATTTACCCAATTATACCACATACCACATAAATAACATACTGTCGGACAATTCTTGGGTGCCTAACCTACCATGTATGACAATTATGGGGTGTCGACCTACCCTGTCTGGCAATTCTGGTTTGCAGACCTACCCTGTCTGGCATTTCTAGGGTGCTGACCTAACCTCCGGTTTATCTCAACCGGCTACGGGGACTATTCCACCCCTACTACTACCACATAATAACCTAGCATAAACATACTGCCGAACATATCTGGGGTGTCGAACCTACCCTTCGGCCCTTACAACCATAACACGGGGACTATTCCCCCTAGTACCTAACATTATATCATGCTAGTACATAATCCTAACAGATAGCACATATCAGATAATTATCACGAAGACAATCATCTCAACAATAACTCTTACTAATGAGCCGGCCTTGGTGCCATCAACCCACGTCTACTTGAATGTAACTCACCCCAATGTCGTGAAGTGTCTGAACTATCCTCGATGCTGAGATCAACTCCTCTCAAACTCCTACACATAATAACCTTCCGTAATTACCATTTTATACTCTTAACCTTTTTAAGGCCAACTCAGGTCAAAGTCAAAGTCAAGGTTAACACCCTGGTCAAAGTAAACTTTTGGTCAAAATCAACATCTGGTTGACTCAACTAGCCAAGTTGGTCCACCAACTCATCGAGTTCCATAACCCATAAAATCCTGGAACTTCGATCGTACTCGTCGAGTTCCCCCTCATACAGAATCGCGACCTTTTGCTCATGACTCGCGGAGCTCATCCTTGAACTCGTCAAGTCCTGCTTCATACCAGTTGAAGTGTTTACTCCTTGACTCGCCGAGTTCTTCCTTGAACTCATCAAGTTCTTCTTCATATAGTTGGGACATTGCCTGGAACTCACCTTGTTCTTTGATCTTCAAGCCCATATTCACACCCATCTTGTTGTGTCCCCTTTTAGACTCAACTAGATTGATCAAAAACAGAAAAGGTTATGAAACCATAACCCGACTCGTCGAGTCCCATGAACGACTCATCGATTCCCCCAAAGTCCATGTCTATCCATTTGATTTCAGTCGAGCTTAATGCATCCAAAACATAGATCTGACCTCCTAGGGTCGATATAGCACGTAAAGTTACAAACTTTACGTGCATGCATGGGTTAACTAGCTTATAAGGACCTAAAATGAAGTCTAGATGGTGCATGAGACTCCCATTGCCATAAAGTTGGAACCTTTATGCCATGGGAACCCTTAAAGGTTTAAGATTTGAACGTACAACCCCAAAGATGCACACAATCCCGAAAATGGCTTCACTATGACTTAGAAAAAGTAGTAACTAGCCCTAAATAGAGATCTAAGAAATGAATAGTCAAGGTTTTAGCTTTATACCTCAACTGAGTTGGAAATGTGCCAAAACCTCTAGATCTACTTGCTTTCTCTTGATCTCCCAAACCTTATCTTTCTTCTCAAGCTTCAAAGATACACACACAAATGGCACAAAAGCTCAAGAACACTCAGTAATCAATTAGGGTTTCGTGAAGAGAGTCTGAGGGTGATGGAGGCTGGAGTGGAGGCCCTATAAGTTGTTTAAATAGGGTTCAAACCCTAAAACTTAGGGTTTCATCTAGACATGTCTACTCGTCGAGTCGGGGCTTCCGACTCAGGTAGTAGATTCTTCCACTTGTGTCCTAAATTCGCATCTACCCAATGAGTTGGGGCCTCCCACTCGTAGAGTCCCAGAGTAAAAATGCAAAACTTATAAATTATCAATTGTCTTTAGTGTTTACAGTTTTAAGAATATTATATAATTCATTTAGTCATTTAGTCAATTGTTATTAAAACGTTAAAACAAAAAATTAAATGTTACTTTAGCATTAGTTCAATAAAATTCTTTTGTAAATAAAAAAAATTATGTAACTAATTTCTTTTACTAAACATCAAAATTAACTGACGTCTTTATTTTCTTTTAAATCTTATAATAAATTTTTAAAAAAAAATCTATATACGAATATCAAATTTTACCAATCTTGTTAGCCAAACATATTAATACCAAGTATACTTGGTATGATATTAGTAGCAAAAATTATATACCAATTATAATTTGTATGGTATACAGTTTAAAGAAAAAAAAGATGAATACAAAAAAAAAAAAAAAAAGATGAATACCATATCAATTCCACTTCTAAAAAATATTGAAAATAGTGGCTGGTTTGGTAATTTATCTACTATTTTGAAAAATGAAAATAAATAAATAAGATTAATGTAATTTATTTTTTATCCTCTATGATAATTAAACAATATTCAATAACATATGATGAAAAAAACCCTATAATAAGTTGTTATGGAAAGTTTTGTTTATTGAATTATTTAACAAAGTCTTCAACAAAAATTATTCATTATGCTTCACTATGTATAATATATTTCAAATAACTAAATTATAAATCTATACGGTAATAATTGAGGATGCTAGTCAATGTTTGCATGATCGTTAATTTTCAGGTTGCAAAACGACAAACTTCAATATATCGGATGGTGGGAACTTGGAATTACCTTGACTCAATGAGCACTAGCAACTATTACACTATATTTACCTTTAAGCAGTTTTGTGCAACATTTTAATGTATATTTTTAAAAAGTGAAAGTAAGGAGTGGAGAATCTAAATCATAACATTCCATGGTTTAAAAATTGGATGGAGTTGAGCCTAAATAACATTCTTTTATAATATAAATGGAGCATCACATTTGGCTTTGCTTGCTTGATCCCATATATTTATTATTAATAATTAATAATAGTACTAAGAACAATCATGTTTTTTATTTTTGCATAACTTCAATTCTAATGCTATTTGATTTTTAAATAAGTATATATTGCTTTCAAAGTTCAAACCATTTACAACGACCTACTATTAATATTTACAAATTTT